CAATAAAAAAGATTTATAAAAATGTTTAAGAAATGGAGGAATCTAAAATAATTTGATAAATTGTTTAAAAGAATAGATGTTTTGACCAAACAACTTGTAAAAATAAATAAATTGAGAGAAAAATAAAAATTTTACAGTTTCTTAAAAAATTATTAAATCAAAATTAATGATGGGTTATTTAATATGATGTGAAATAATTATTCTATATTTATATTTTCTAAAATAAAGAACTAAAGAGCAACAAATGAAAATGAAAGTGTAGTTAGAAATACCCTGGGAATGGTGCTGAGTTAACTCACATTGGAAGGTAAGACGTTAAATAATGAACAATATGAACAGCTTTCTGAACCATCATCGATTATAGGAAAGGATGAAAGAAAAGAAGACATAATATATTTATCTGCATAATACAAACAAAGGGCTCAAATCATGGTGAAAATGTAGGCAATATCCTAAAGATTCCGATCTGTGGGTCCCTTTCCTACCAGCATACATTTGTATTAGCTTGAGTCCGATTCCACCCACAAATCATGATGTTGATGCAAGGTCCCCATGTCTCTTAATGTAAAGTATTTTGCTTGGTTGTCCTTCCTCTTCAAATCAATCAGCATCTCAATTCTCAAGTACACCATTTCTGTTTAATTAGACAGCAAATTGTATGCAACATTTTCAAAACAAAAACCAGATGATATTCACAGTTTCATACACATAATTATACATCTATTACTTCATGTTTATATGATTCTTTCTTACTATTGAAATGTAAATTTTTCAATTAGTTGTACAAATATAGTTATTATGTATATGTGTGTATATATAATTGATGTGAATGTGATTCTTTCAGACACACATATGGAGTAAATTTGGAAGGATTAATTTGATGGTGGATATGAGGTACAGATATTATTCCCTCACGAGTGGCTGAGACTATACCTTCAATTACGTAAGCAAAAGTATTATGCATGGGTAGAAACGCCATAAGACTATTCATCTAACCAAAGTAAAATAACAGAGAAAAACTGTGTATGGAAGTTTAAAACTTACTAGGATGGTGAGTGGTCCTACCCACTAAAGAACAGGGAAGGTAAAAAGACGAACAAAGTTGCTGCCACCTGCCACTGCTAGTAGGTGTCAAAAAACCACCTTTTTTTGCATTTACACCTGATTTCTGATAGTGAAGGTATATGGACACCATTAAAAGAATCCTCTCACTAAAGACACACAACACAAGTAGTATTTATTTCGTGCAACTATATCAGCTTAGAGATTTTGGGCACAGAAATGTTGGGTACGGTCTAAAGTTGGTGATTCCTTTTAAGGATGAGAAGAAGCCTCGGGGAAAACAATTGACTTCTTCTTCTCAATCTGCAGCATCAAGCAGGTTGATCAATGTGAGTTCCTAATTTTATACTGCAAATTTTGTCCAGCCATAAATGCATGCAACTTCATACACTCTGAACTCGTGCTGCTGCGACGTAGGAAGAGAATTAAAATTTTCTATTGAGAAAAAATGTAGTGGGTAGACCAGATAAAACAGAATTTCATCAACCAAAACTTAAACAATAATCAGCGTTTAAATTGTAAGGGAATTCAACTTTCTTGTGAGAACTGCGTTCTGGTAACAAACTTTTCAGCTGCATCAGTTTTGACTCCAACGTGAACAAAGTAATGGAAATAATTAAATCTTTCAATTAAATAGTAAATATAAACTATACTGTATTACATTACATTAGTATTAAGCATTTCTTATAAGATTAAAATTTATTTGGTTTCCCCAATCCAAAATTCCATTGCGTTCGAGCCACTCACTCGCTGGATTGGTAACACGACTTGGTCTGCATATAAGTACGTACCTTTTGGGTCATGTCTATTAGTATCAACGTAAGCTAACTAGGCTTTGTGGTGCACAGCAACGATGATAGTGAACACCATATGAAATCATTATTTGAACAAAATACTGTACCTAAAAGGCTTAATTGGTTCTGTACTGAGTTAATTTTTCCGGAAAAATCAACATTGTCATTTTCTCTTGAGCCTTAGAATATCAGTGATTAGAAGCCATTTCAGACACCAATTTATTTCAATCAAGTTCCTGACAAGTGATTACTATTTCTTTCGTACACAACTTACAAGGAAGAATACAAATCTGAATGAAAAAAAATCTTCAGTATACCAAAAAGTTTTTTATCCTCTCTTGCAATCGTGATCAGTAGTATCTTCACCATTAATTTTGGTGGACCAAATAATATATTATTAAAAAATAATAAATAAATATATAAAAAATGGTGAAAGGATAAAGTTATAAATATATACTTAAATATATTAAATAATCATTAAATTTGAAAGAGACAAATTTATAAATTATATAAGAGTTACAAAATTAAAGAGTGACTGAGAATAAAATTATAAAAATACAAATAAATATTTATTAAATTTAAGAGGCTAAAATTATAAATTACATTATAATTTTATAGGAACAACTCTACAAAATATCCATGAACGGTGGTGATAGTCACTTGTAGTCGATTTATATAAACTGATATATATGTTGGATAAAGGTACCCAAATCCACGGCTTGACCCATTAGTCCTGCGTATACCCGAATGACGGAGCTACTTTTTGAAATGGAAAATGACATTTGCACAACCTCTTTCTTTAAATATACTAATCCAATAACTCTACATATTAATACAATATTAATAAAAAAAATTATATTAATATCATTATGTTATTAAATAGAAGTTGTAGAGTGTATGTTTAAGATTTTTAAATGTTTTAATATCATTACTCTTTAAAAATATGTAGAGAAATATACGATATTTTTTAATTTGGTCCTTTTATTTAAAGGATTTTACAGATTTTATTTATCCCTCCACAGCTAACTCATTGTTAATATAATATAGAAAAACAAAATTATGTTGTGAGAAAAGAAGATGAAAGCATAAAAATTAAGATAGATGATCAATGTATATTGAATAAGGATTGAAATACATATTTTAGGATTGTTTTATTAACATGTACATGTCATTAAAAGTTTGAACACTATTTATTATTATTTTGAAAAATTAGATCTGATTAACCGATTCAATAAGTTTAATTGAAATCAGATTAAAAAATTATTTGTTATTTTCAAATAATAAAATTTGCAGTTAAATCAATTAGTAAAAAAGAAAATTTAGATAAAATTTTGTTAATATAATTTTTTATAAAAAATATAATATAGTTTAATATTTTTTTCTCACATTAGTTACATAAATTTTAAATAATTATTATTTTCTTATATTTTTATGATATTTTAATAATTATTATTTTTTATTCTTTAATATATTTATATTTATAATTTTCACTGTAACACATGATAATTATTATTTTTTTATAAAAAAATTATTAATAATAAAATTATTATATTATAAAAATATTATTTTATTAAATTTAATTTAATCTTTAAATTTTAAACTTATATCTTAACGAATTTGGTTTTAAAAACATTCGTATTTATTATTAAAAGTTGAAATAAGCAATTTGATTGTTGTGATAGTTTTCAGTGTTTACAAAATTTCAATACTGTTGTTTTTAGTGTAATTAGATTTTAATAAAATAAAATAAAAAATCATATAATTTATACGAAAATATATATTTTTTTTAAACAATATAAACTCATTTATTTGTTCATCCTACGAATTCAGTATGAAAAAAAATCAAGAAAAATGATGATTTAATATCTAATTAATAATTATTTTTAATAATAGTTAAAGATAATATCAACTAGATATATATTTTATATTTAATTATTGATATTTCATTACCCTGCTAAATTTACACAAATCATTTGTAACAGGATTTTGTAGAGAAATACCCACCCTATTTATATCTCTGTTTAACCATAAAAAGAAAATGCAAAATTTTCCAAAGACTATTTGAACGAATTTTGCTATAAATTTATTTCTAAAAGAAAAATAAAATTGATCTTTCTTATTAAGGAAAAATAAATCAGGTAGGACAAATCGATCCGTACGATTTAAGTCTATTCTGTTAAGTTTGTGAATCCGTTGGACCAATTTATAGAAAGGGACTGATCAGTTTATAATTTTAATTAATAAAAAATATTTTTTTATTATAATATAATTAATTATAAGATAATATATAAAATTAAAAATAATAAAAAAATAATTAATTTTTTTTACTCTGGTCCTCTTATTAAAATAAGTTTTTCTTTTATTATTCATATTTTTTATGTTTTCATATTAAACACTAATTATTTTTACTATTAGGATTTAATATAATAATATAAAAATTATTAAAAAAATTAATATGAAATTTTATCAAATAAAAAAAATTATGAATATTTAAATTTTTTAATATAAAAAATATAAATTTAAGAATATTATTTATATATATATATATATATATTTATTATTATTTATTATTATATAAATTTTATTATCATTTTAAATTATAATTTTTTAAAATAATATATTAATTTATATTAAATTATTAATAAATAAATAATATTTTAATATTGAATTTATTAAAAAAAATTTTAATTATGACCAAACATCTAACTAACCCACCATTTGTCAGGACAGACGAAAATGAATAATCCATTGTGATGACGGACCAAAACGGGGGCATAGGCATTATGTCCGTTTTGCCATCCCTGTTTCTTATCAACCAAAACCCGAACCGACTGATAGAAAGTTAATTTCCTTCACGACAAAGCATGCTCTACGCACTTCCTTCAGTGAAAAACTTAGTTCCTTCCTTTGAACAGAATCTTTGCTTCTTTCTTTGTTGACAAGATATCCTCTACGCTCCTCAACCTTGCGGTTTTGGCATTAAACTACTTTACTTCCTAATTTGGTTTTCTTTTTTTCAACCGTGGCATCTCTAACAATCTCTTTCTCTTACGAATGTAAAAAACGAGAAAAAAAAAAGCATGATGAAGAAGAGGCGTGTTGAGTTCTAGTTATTGCTTCTAGACAGTGAAAAACTGCTTTAAGTGGTCACCATCACCGTCACAGAGGTTGCTGTCGGTGACTGTACTCGGATGGCAAGGAAAGCACCGCTACAAGGTAAGCTGCCATGAAAATTGCTTCTTTTCTTTATTTATAAAAGCTTATTTTGATTTATATATATATATATATATATATATATATATATATATATATATATATATATATATATATATATATTGAACTGTGACAGAAAGAAAAATTATGAATTATTGACATTTAATATATTTTTTTTTTAACTTCGACATGTTAAAAAACTATTTGACTAAAAAAAAGTTTCAGAATTAATGTAAAAAAAAAAATGAAGTGTGTATTTACAAAAATAGTGAAATTTAAGATCAAATCCTTTAGTACAAGATTTTACTTTAAAATTTTGCCCTACTTTTTAATATATCAATATATCATACTAGTAATCTAACAAAAATTGTTTTCTTAATATCAGTTTAGGGTTGATTCCGAGCATTTAAGAATGTTTTGATTTTTATAAAAAAGAGAATTACAATAGTGACATTTTATTTGCCCAAAATAATCTGATGCTAATTTTTTTCAAAAAGAGAAGAAATAATAATGCTAGTAGTTTTTTTAAAGAAAATAGCATCCTACCTTTTAGCTGAGATACCATAAACTCTTATTTTATTTTAAGTAGTACTTAAACTTTAACTTGCTGTTAATTATGTTGTAAAAAAAAAATAACGTGAGACCCAAAATCAAAAACTCTGAAATGGGAGTGGAGACAGGGAGTTCTCCCCGTAACTCTTGTTGTACTTCGTGCTCTACCAACGGAAACAAATCTACGTTCTCATGTCAAACTTAGCACAGAATATACACTAAGTATATTGTTTCCATATTCATCCACCTTGTTGGCAAATTTTGGGTCATATATATATATATGATACATATTTAAATGTGTTAGGGTCATTATTTATTAAGTCAAATAATAAAGTGATCTGAATAAATTAAAGTTTTGGCTAAAGGTATATGTCATGAAAATATGATTGTGCAGAGACCATAGAGTAATTTCTAATTTGATGAGGGGCCAAATTGAAAATACTAAAACTTAAGTAATTAACCTAATTTTGGTTATATAAAGGGTCATGGTCCCCTTCTGAGAGCACACAGACAGAATACAGTTACAGTCCCGTTCTTTTCTTTTTTATCCCCATCAAGAGAGAAAATTAAGAGGGAAATACAGGTGCTTTTCAGGTGGAAGACCATAAGATCAAATCAAAAGTGCTCTACAAAGGATATCGTTATTATGGCCAATTCAGGTACGCTTTCACATTTAGTTTATAACATGTTTACAGTATGGGATTGTAGATATATGTTTGATCATTAGAATGAAGATCATATTTAATTATCAATTTACCTAACAATTGGTATCAGAGCCACCCATACATGATTCATGTTTATATTTCGTAAATTAAATTTAAGAATTTAGAACCCTAATCTCAAATTTTTATAAATCCTAAATTAAAATTTGGGGTTAAATATTCTGGTTTTCTCTTCGCTTCACAACCACCAAACAATACAACCTTAGTCTTCCATCAGGTGAGATGCACGTAGAGAACCTCGAATCTTCCACGAGGGTTTCAGTGACATGAAATATATATATATATATATATTTTTTTGGTGACGTTATTGGGTTTGTTGGTATTGTAACCAATTTTGTTTTTGGAGATTTGAATGAGGGGTTAGGCAAATTCAGGATTTGGCCAAGAGAGGGTTTGCCGGAGTTCGAATTGGAAGGGTTTATTGCTGCGGAGGGTAATGGTGGTGCGGCTGAGGGAGCGATTGTCATGAGTTTAAGACAGCGTCCCGTCGCCGCGCGCGCGGTGGTGACGGTAATCGTGCGCAGCCGTTTAACTCCGTCTACAATATTATCCCGGTGCACGACCTCATGACGGACCACCCTTCGCTCCAGTATCCGGAAGTGCGCGCGGCTGCGCCGGCGTCGAGTGCGTCGACGATTGCCAGAGCCGGCTCGAGGCGCATCTGCGAGTTCGCGAGTTGGTGTACGTTGCGCTATACCTTCTGGTTTGGGGAGAGGCCGGTAACCTACGTTTCACTCCAGAGTGCATATGTTATATTTACCATTTCATGGCGAAGGAGCTTTACCATGTTATTGATGAACACATTGATCCTGATACTGGTCGTCCTTTTATGCCTACCGTTTCTGGTGAACTATGGTTTTTGATGTCTGTGATTTTGCCAATTTATAATACTATTAAGGTTGATAGTAGCAAAAATGGAAAGGCTCCGCACTCTGCTTGGAGAAATTATGATGACGTTAATGAGTATTTTTGGAGTAGGAGGTGTTTGAAGAGGCTGGGGTGGCCTTTGAATTTGGGGTGTAATTTCTTCGGGACTACTCCGAAGGAAAAGCACGTAGGGAAGACTGATTTTGTGGAGCAGAGGTCGTTTTGGAATGTTTACAAGAGTTTTGATAGGCATTCATATTTGGGGTGCAAAACAAAGAGGTTTAATTTGGTTAGGTTTGCGTCCACATGGGTGGTAGTTTTTTCTCTTGTGTTTGTGATGGGGATGCAACCCCTAACCCCTATGAGGCCAAGGCTTGGAGATTTACCCGAGAGTTGTGTGGCATTGTTGTTGATGTATTTGGACCCACCAGATATTTGCATGCTTGCACGATTGAACAGGGTGTTTCGTGATGCTTCGTTAGCTGATTTCATTTGGGAATCAAAGTTTCCTGTGAATTATAAGTTCATCGTGGAGAAAGCTTTGAAGGATGTTTCTGTAGAAGACTCGGGGAAGAGGGATATTTATGCTACACTCTGCAGGCCTAATTGTTTGACAACAGGACCAAGGAAATTTGGCTGGATAAGAGGACGGGTGGGATGTGTATGGCGATTTCTTCCCAAGCGTTGAGGATTACAGGGATAGATGATACATAATAAATAAATAAATATATAAATTTGGTTTAGGGTTACCCTTATTAATATATTCAATTTGTTTGGAAGTTTAATATTTTTTTGTGAGCAAATTGAGTCAATAAGTTACCAAATTAACCTCTCTTGAATTGGGTAGTTCATGAAAAATATTGAATGTTAATGTTTGTGTATATTCATGCGAGTATTAGTCGACCCAAAGGAAGATTAATATTTGGCCGAATTGCATACACACTTGTAATGATAAACATGTGATAATTATAAGGATTTGCTTTGTCGATGATAAATCAATCCAAAGACTGGTTTGTTGTTGGACGTGTTTTATTGTCAATGTTTGATTATTACAACAAGATACCTCTAGCGAGTTAATATTACTTGTCCAAAGACTTGATATTGATGGTGCATTGGGTGTCTTGAGATGAGTTAAACCATTATTTGAATATATATTTTATTTATAATTATTTAATTTTATAATGTGAGCATAATTATTTTATTTCTTTTGTTCTAATCCAGTTACAATTGCTTACGTATTCTGCCAATTTAAATTTTGTTCAGGTCCTCAATGGAACAAATTTTAAGGACTGGAAAGAGAACATTAATATTATTCTTGGCTGCATGGATATGGATCTTGCGTTAAGGACTGAGCAACTCCCTGTTCCTACGGATTCAAGTACCTCTGAACAGAAAAGAGATTATGAAAAGTGGGATCGCTCAAATCGCATGAGTCTAATGATCATTAAGCACGACATCCCGGAGGTGTTTAGGGGCACTGTTTCTGAAAACATCACAAGTGTCAAAGAGTTCCTTGCTGAAATTGAGCAGCGCTTTGCAAAAAGTGATAAGACGGAGACAAGCACTCTTCTTCAGAACTTGATCTCCATGAAATATCAGGGCAAAGGAACTATTAGGGAGTACATTATGAGCATGTCTAATATTGTTTTTAAACTCAAGGCACTAAAACTCGAACTCTCAGAAGACTTGCTCATTCATTTGGTGTTGATTTCTCTTCCCGCAACGTTTAATCAGTTTAAGGTATCTTACAACTGTCAGAAGGATAAATGGTCTTTTAATGAACTCATTTCACATTGTGTACAAGAAGAAGAAAGGTTAAAACAAGACAAGACAGAAAGTGCTCATTTTGCAAGCACATTTAAGGCTAAAGGAAAAAGGATAAATGGTTTCTTAATGAACTCATTTCACATTGTGTACAAGAAGAAGAAAGGTTAAAACAAGACAAGACAGAAAGTGCTCATTTTGCAAGCACCTTTAAGGCTAAAGGAAAAAGAAAGAGATCGGAGGATCCCAAGAAGGAAGCTGCTAAAGGTCCAGAACAAAAGAAACAAACTCAAGAAAATAAATGTTTCTTTTGCAATAAGACTGGACACGTAAAGAAGCAATGTGCTAAATATCATGCTTGGCGTGAAAAGAAAGGGTTGCCTAAACTACCGGAAGTCAACTAATTCTGAAAGATGAATATACGTTGAAAATGGCAAATTGGTGGAGATGGAGACTATTGAACATTTTAGATTATTATTATGTACTGGTTTTTTATTTTAGATTTAAAAGACATTTTTTGTCGTGTCGTCTTTTAGACAGAATTGGTTTCAGTTTCTTATTTGGACAAATTAGGTTATTTGTGTTCATTTGGAAACAATAAGTTCAGTTTGTCTTTTAATTCAGATATTGTTATAACTGGTTCATTTTTGGCTAATGATAATCTATATTTACTTGATACTGTGGTCACCTATAATGCAACTCTTAATACAGAATCTCGTGGTATTAAACTAAAATTGGACTCCCGAACAATAAGTAGTTACTTCATTGGTTATTCTGAGAGAGCCAGGGGATATAAATTTTATGATCCCACATTAAAGACATTTTTTGAGATAGGAACTGTTATGTTCTTTGAGGATATTGAGTTTGGGGGGAAGAATAAGATTAAGAATTTTGTATTGGAGGAAGAATCGACAATAAATTCAGAACCGAGTCAAACAGTTACTTTTGATAAAGTAAGTTCGGAACCTCCACAAGACATTGATGACAAACCCCATATTCAAGATGATTTGATTTTTCGTCAAGACCAAACTCAAGATCCTCAAGAACTTGTGCGTCATGAGCCGGGGATACTCCAGTTACTAAGGGAGACAAGTTTAGTCTAAATTAGTGCCCAAAGAGGAATTTGGAAATTGAGGAAATGCAACAGATTCCCCATGCATCAGCTATCGGGAGTTTGATGTATGTATGCATCCATACATAACATACATAGTTGGGGTTCTAGGCAGATATTTAAGCAATTCCGGAATAGACCATTGGAAAGCAGCAAAAAGGGTCATAAGATATTTAAAGAGAACAAAAGATTATATGCTCACATACAGGAGGTCAGACCAGTTGGAGATCGCTGGATTTTCTGACTCATATTTTGCAGGATGTCAAGAATTTGTAGCATGCTATGAGGCATCAAATCATGGAATATGGCTGAGAAATTTTGTCACAGGGCTGCAAATTGTGAAAGACATTGAAAGACCACTTAAGTTATATTGTGACAATAAATCAGCTGTATTGTTAAGGAAATAGTACAAAGTGGACAGATTTCCATAGAACACTTAAGGACAAACTCCATGATAGCATATCCTCTAACTAAAGGACTTTCGCCCAAGGTCTTTCATGAGCATGTTGCTCACATGGGTGTTTGACAGTTTGAGGAATTTGTGGTTTAGTGGGAGTTAGTCATTTTCATATATTTTATGTTCTATGTTTAATTTTATATATGTATACATTGTTTTTGGACATATTTGGTTATCTATATATAGATATGCAGTTTTCTTGTTCATTCATTACACTTTGTACATTAAGGTTATTGTATCGATCTCGATAAGTTAAAGTTTGGACCAGTTGAAAATAGACGTGTACAGATCACCTTCACGTAATTTTTCATGCTACACATTTCATGATGAATCCATGTCATTTGGTTATGTCAGGATGAGTAATCTTGTTGGTTTTAGTTGCGATGATGCAATGAAAAACTAGTTTGGTTCTATATCCTGATATGATTAATGGACAGGACTTTTGGAATATGCTAAATGAATATAATGACAATTTTGAGCTCATAAAGTCTAACACATTTGTAAGGTTGTAATGACATATATATTTGTGACCAGTGGGAGATTGTTGGCAAATTTTTGGTCATGTATATATATGATACATATTTAAATGTGTTAGGGTCATTATTTATTAAGCCAAATAATAAAGTGATCTGAATAAATTAAAGTTTTGACTAAAGGCATATGTCATAAAAATATGATTGTGCAGAGACCATAAAGTAATTTCCAATTTGATGAGGGGCCAAATTGAAAATACTAAAACTTAAGTAATTAACCTAATTTTGGTTATATAAAGGGTCATGGTCCCCTTCTGAGAGCACATGAGACAGAATACAGTTACATGTCCCGTTCTTTTCTTTCTATCCCCATCAAGAGAGAAAATTAAGAGGGAAATACAAGTGCTCTTCAGGTGGAAGACCATAAGATCAAATCAAAAGTGTTCTATAAAGGATATCGTCATTATAGCCAATTCAGATACGCTTTCGCATTTAGTTTATAACATGTTTACAGTATGAGATTATAGATATATGTTTGATCATTAAAATGAAGATCATATTTAATTATTAATTTACCTAACAACGGTGTCATCAAATTAAGTTAGATTTTTACCACCAAATGAAGTTGTACCAAATTCCAATAGACTCTAAAAAAGGCATTGGATGCAGCTCTCACGTAGGATTTAACCCCCAGAAAAGGGAGAAGGAAGTGATGTTGAATATTGGATCATAAAAACGATAGTGCTTTTGACTACTATAGATATCAGCCAATTCGAATGTTTATAAATCGAAATCTCAAAAATACACGTACATAATGAAAATGGATAGTTAATGCTACTGGAAGCAAAATAGGGGCAAAAGAGGAATTACAAGTAGAGGAAGCACATTATTCAACTCGAGAAGGACAACAGTCCATACCCATGACTTGGGAAGGAGAATGAGTGAAAAAAATCAAAATAACTTACCAAAGAGCACTCAATTACTTGAGTAAAGATGTCACGTAACATTCTAAAAAAATAGTATAAATTACAAAAAAGAGAATTGTGAAATATTTTCAAGTTAAAAAAAAAAACTATTACAATAAAACTGAATTTAAATTACTTAGCAATGATGTTGTACATTAAATATTATAAAAAGTAATGATATATTTTCTTCCCTTACCACCTGTTAACAATTAGAAATAATAATAAATAATAATATTATAATATTATACTAATATATTCAGTTATTGAAGAATGTTTTTAACAAAACAACATTCTCGTGCTACAAACTATAATGTATGAGTAGGAGTATATGACTCATGATAGGTTTGAATTGGATTCACTCGAAAAAAAATTTAATTTTTTTTAGTAGTGGATTAAAGTGAGTTCCCCTCTCTTAATTTGTGAGTTAAATTCCTGTGTTAATATAAATCTGTAAAATAAAATATTTTAGTGACTCAATGTATCTAATTTACTTATTTTAGTACATCAATCTATTTAATTCCCTTATTTTAATAATTTAAAAAAATATAAAAAATAATTTAAGAAAGACATATTTAAATTAGTCAAACTACTAATCCGTGACAAGCAGAACTGAATTATAAAAATTTTAACTCACTCCAAAATGAGTCAAGTTTAGTTGTTTTATTTTTAAAATTATAAAAAAAATAAAATAAAAAACATATTTAAATTAGTCAAACTTGATAATTCACTCAAAAATAGTGAAGTTTAGTGCTTTATTTGGTGGAGCAAAGTCTGACTCCTTGACCTTATTTTGTTTATTGAAGATGCTAAAGACAATTTCAACCCCAACAACTTATATTATAACAGAGTTCAAAAGTCTAACCCAATATAATAAAATAATTTTTTATAATATAATAAATTTATTAATAACGATTGTTTGAAAAAATAATAATAATAAATTTTATTGTCATGGTTAATATAAGTTTCAATGAATATTTTAAATATAAAATATAACAATATTTTTTATAAAAAAATATAAAATAAATAAAAATATAATAAAATAATAATTATTTAAAATTGACATAACTAATAAAAAATAAAAAAAATAAAATATATTAATATTTTTATAAAAAATCATATTACAAAAATTTATCTTATTATTTTTATCAAAATGAGTTCAATCCAAAAATTCAATCAATTTTATTAATTTTTTTAATTTTATTCTAATTTAATTAAAATCTAATTATTTAAAAATAACAAACTAATTTCTAATCAAATTTCTGTTTACATCAATTGTTCCCTGTCAGACCTATTGAATCGAATAGATTCAATTTTTAAACACTTGTGGAGATAGATATTTATCAGGTTGCTCCCAGGGAGACGGAACGAATGGAATTCTAATCTCCCGCAAAATATCTATTATACTATTACCTTATCATTCTCTTGTTCTTTTTAGTCTCTCTGTGTATACCTTCATTGATTGTGGAAATCATTTCACTGCAAGAAAGTCCATACTCATACAAATACATACAGAGATTGATTTCATTCACATTGCTCAGTTGATTAATCTTATACATAACAAACTAGTGCTTTCATTGACTTGTACACGTGCCTGAGGATACTCGTCAAAAGGAGCTTCAGACAAATGCAAAGGGACGCAATATGAAACTGGACTTCCTCAAATTTGAAGTTGAATGATGTATTTTAGTGGATATTTAAAGCAGAGCAGATGTGAAACACCTGATGATCAGCGACTAATACCTCCATCCACCAAAATTCAACAGCACTTGATTCAATAGGAAGACTTGAGTGTAGCTCGTGCAACTTGGAATATAAAGGTGTGCAGACCGCTTTTCCAGACTTCATCCGCGAGGACAACGTTGCTCCTAATTGGAGAAAATTTGCACTAAATTGAAATGGAATGCTTACTGGTAGTGGAAGCACAAAAAAGAGTAAATGAGGAATTACAAATGGAGGAAGCACATGATGCAAATCAAAGCGGATAGGTGGCAGTTGATGTGCACAATTTGAGAAGGAGAATAGTGAGAGAAGAGGAGACTGGTAGAATTCTAATTTCTCTCTCTTGGAAATTCTCTAATTCTGTTAGCTTGTCATTCTCGTTATTTTTATTCTCTCAATAAAATAGCTACATTGATTGTGGCAATCATACACTGTAAATACAGAAATTGATTTCCTTCGAATTGCTCAGTTGATTACTCTTACACATAACAATACACTAATTATTTGAAATGATTATAGACTAGGGATAGGCTTTAGATTCAGTATCTTAGTGATCTAATTAGTGTTCTCGAGAATGATGTGATCGCCAAGCTATTGAAATATGAAGCGTAGGTCCTCTCCCTTGGGGGATGATGGGGTGTTCTACAGAAACATGCTTAAGAAAATAGAAATAGTTTATAGAAAGAAATGGAGGCTATATCTAGTCATCAGCTTGAAATAAATCGGATAGAATGAAAGAATATCTTGCATAGAGGGAACCTACCCCCATTCGGAACAACCAGATATTTGAAATAGGACATGCTCCGAATAGATATTCTTTGAGTGGATGGTGAAAGTGGCAACACTAACTGCATGCGTTTTTTGCATACAAGCGAGCTGTACTCGATGACATTGACTACCCATACGAGTTTGGGTACTTTTAGATTTTTTACTCAGTATGAAACAGTCCCCACAAACTAAAAAAGCTGCACTCTTAAAGATATGAAGTCTATGATGAAAACCGGTAAAAATGTCCACCGCTGTTGCAACCTCGACTATAACAAAAGTTATGAGTATTTGACCAAGTAAATATTAACCACCTCCTGCGGTAAAACAGCCATGTGCCAAATTGTTCACCCTTTAAACTCCTGGAATTCCAATATAATGGCTATTCAAAATTACATTTGAAATGCACCTGGTTATGTATATCCTTTCCAAAATTATAAAAGCTGATTCGAAAACATGACGCAGTTATTCATACATTATCCTAAATAATTACCTTAAACAGCCAAAATTTTCTGGTTCAACAACTAATTGTTGACAGCTAGAAAGTACCATATATCGTGCTCAGTAATATATTGAAAGTGTTCGGTGGTGCTGCAGAGATGTGCACTGAACACCGGCAGCCCAGAGCCAAAGATCCAGTTCCACACTGAGAACCTGAAAGTAATAAAGGCTTTTTCAGTTTCAGATAAGATGAACAACTTATACATAAGACAAATGAGTATAACAGTCACACTGCACAGTATGTGTGTAAATGTTTCTAGAGAAAATATAGTTTAACAAAAATAATCAATTGGTTTAAAAAAAAATACGGTAAGAGCCAACAGTGAATTATTGCTTATATTTTACACTTGAATGTAAATAACCATATATATGCACTGGAAAAGGGCAATAAGTGGGAAATACTCAGCACAGAAATGACTAACCTGTCTTCCTGACTTTACACTTATCAGCTCCCTCATTTTCTCAACTGCATGTACAGAGCAAGCCCGCAGTTCAACTTCCTCTTCAGTCCCTGGACCTATTTCTCCACTGGCCTCAATAGTACTTGCAAGTTTTGGACTATATTTTAAAACACCAAGCTGCCGAAGCACAGCTGGGACGATATAGTCTGCCATTATAGTTAATGAGCCGACGTCTTTAAACTCACCATATCCTTGGCCCCCAAATGCACCCCACAAATCTGCTGCAAATATCTGAGCCCTTTTGTATAAAAATACCTGGCGTCCCTTGTACAATGTATGGTCCCTAAAACCTAGAACCAACATTGGAGTCAACAAATGAAATACTTTGCATAAAATTCATAGCAACTTCAAACAGCAGTATATAAAAATTGGGCATTATATATTTCAGAGTTTTAGTAAAGGCTATGAAGGTAAAAAAGGCTATACCAGGGAAATGGCGTGCAACAAGAGCGACAAGATTCACAGCTGATTTTCCACAACACTGCACAAGATTGGATGCTTTACCCTCAAAGTTCCTTTCCAATTCAATCCCAACCTAGCAATAGAAATGGATAGAATACACATGGGGCCATCAGACTGCAAGACATGCTCATTTCCAGAACTACTAAGTTCACAGAATTGAAAAACCAACAAAAATAGTGAAACTAAAAAAAAAGGATGGATGTAGCTGTGACTAAAGCTATCATCCCTAATGATGTTTTTTTTACCTCGTGAAGTAACCTAACTCGTTCATCTTCCAAAGGAAGGGGTCTAGGCCATCTCAAAAGTTCGCGTAGTTGTGGACCTAACATTATGAACTGATTTTGTCATTATGCTATTGGTAGAAAAGAATTTCTTCCTCCGAAACAGTGAAGCAAGCTTATCAACCATACGGCCCAGCAGACATATAAACACGACTTTTGAAAATACTGTAAAACCGCAAAACTCATATTTGGTTCTATCATCTAAGGAACTATAATTTCACTGCTGTTAATGCTGAACCATATTAAGCAAACATGCATGTGGCAAACAAAATATTATTGCCCCCGACCTGGCAGCATAAGAAGAACGAAGACTTGAGTGTTCATTGTTTGGACCTAAATTCCTTTCGGTGACACAAATTACTATGCATCATTGCTGTCCTGTCCTATAAGACAATATACCCATATCAAGTTAAATGTAGTATTTATCCTTAACATAATTTTGACAACCTTTGGTTTCAGACGAAAGTGAAGACATGAATTGAATTAAAGATATGAAACTATCGAAACGTTTGTCATTCAAATGTGTGCATGTAATTAAATAATCTAGTTTTGTATACAGCCACTACAAGGTGCGAGAAGATTACCAGTGTACTTTTGCAGACGATCAGCATCAAATGCAGATTTATCATTTTGAAGAGCTGCTTTTAGCCCAGATGCCAAATCGTCATAATTCAAATCCTCATCTGTGAGAAAATGAGAAAAGATGTTAGCATTGAAGAGAATATAAAAAATGGCAAAGTTAACCAGGGATAAAAAGATACATGTGCTAAAATCCTAACGAAACAGTTCACTAATTACTACTTCATGTCTTTCCCAATTAGAATGTCAAGTAGACAAATGACAGGTTGATCATCATAATGTATGGGGCAAAAAACACCCTTCGAACCCAACATCTCCCTAAAAATTCATGATTCTATCAGATAACATGATATATACTTGTTTCTCATCAGCTTATCAACGAAACATAATCTATAATCTCTTTATCTTTTTTTTTTTTTTCATTCCTTAAAATTTACAACAAAAAATATTTAAGTTTACTATGTTTTTTTATTCAAATATAGCATACACAAGGGAAGAAATGTAAGATAATTTCAACAATCAGGTCTACGATTATGAAAGCTAGGATGATGGATATGTTTGTAAAATGCAGTATTTTATAAAGGAGACCACCCAAGAATTGCACCAGTGACTATTGGTAACATATAAGTGGCCAATACGCACGAACCAAAAAGCTTTTGACCAAATCAAATGCTTTTAAAACATGAGATACACAGTTAAACAGAAATGACAATCCAAATTCGCCACCTCCCGCATATTCACAAACCATTTTCATAACTATCAAGTGTCAACAAGACGTTCTTCAGCTACATTTACTTACTTGCTTATTGTGTAAGACCGATAATAAATTGCCTCTTAATCCACATAAATATAGCCATAATCAAAGACAAATGTCGCTACCTTCTTGCATATACGAACTCATTTAAGTGTGACCAGTAAAATGACAGATAAATTCAAATGTCTTTCAGAAAGATAGCAATTAAAAGAAAATACAAAAAACAGGGAGCCATTGACACCATGATTAAGGTACTGAAGTCGTGTAATTAACCAATCACGGTCCTGAGCCGTTATGGCAAAAACAAATGTGTACGTAACAGAAAAGGATAAGAAAAACGCAGCGTACCAGGCCAGAAGCAAAAATTTAAAGCGTCCAACACAAACAAATACTGAACGGTGAGTGGTCCATTATCGAAGTAGTGAATCCCTTCGAAATCCCACTCAACCTTGGGAATGGACTCAATGGAGCTCACCACTTTATCAATCCCTGAAAACGACACCAGGGAGGGAAATACACATTATCATTTCATTTTGGAAAGCATTATCGGAGAGGGGAAAAAAAACGAGGGTGGAGAATGAGAGGAATGAACCTGCAGAATCGACGAGGACATGGGAAGAGCGGCTGGCGACCCAGGCGGAGGTGGCCCTAACGTCGTCCATGGCGCTGTGAAAGTGAGGAGCGGAATGCGGCGTGTGCAACGAACCCTAACGAAAGCGTTTGAAAAAGCAATAAATATATAGGGTAGGCGTTGGTGAGAGTGTTACCTGCTTGGAAGTTTCGCGGGTTTTTATGGTGAAGAAGAGCGGTGGCATTCCATGTGCGTTTTGGCGCTCAGAGTGTGAACCTAACCCGCTTTCTGACCCTGTTTCGCGTAAGTTGGAAAGTTTTTGGGCCACCAAACCCCACATTTTAAGTATACAGAGGATAAAGTTTTCATACCCCTCCACAACCAGAGACTACACCACACCCTATCATATCACGTGATCAATCGCTCACTCACCAACCTTCCCTATCCAATACTGCGCCGTAGGATTTTTGCCTGTTTTTTCCATTCAATATTTTTCTAATTACAAATATTTATATTTATACATTTTAGATAGAGTAGTATTCCCATAGTATTTTGAATCATATTTTTTTAATATTCTATTTATAAAAACAAAAAACTTACATTTTTCTTTAAAAGAAAACAAATAAACTCTTTTTACACCAAAATCATAAGGACATATGAATATATCACGTATAAATAAATGTTTTTTATGGAGTGCTACCTTCACTAACTAACTATACATAAAGGAAACTCAATGTATGATTTGATTGTTATGGATGTAGGAGAAGGAGAAGGATTTCATTTTTTATGCAATTGTTTTTCTTCAGAAGGTGCTCCATGTTCTTTCCCTTTGGGGGTGTGTTTAGCCACTTTCTGGTTTTTTTCATGGACGAATAAAACTTTGCATAAGATATTTTTATGTATTTGTTTGTACTTTATTTTAAGTGGAAATTTTGGAGCTTTTAGCCTCAGCCTGGGCTTTCTATTTACACGGTTAGAATTTTTTTTCTTCATTTTTTTTCTATTGTGGCTATTATACTTTCTAATTGTTGTTATTGCTAATTCTCACTTTGAAGTTTTGCACACCTGCCACAAACAAAGTTGAGTACGCACTTGTGTCAGTTTAAGAGATGGCTTTTACTATAATTAGATAACCCTACTATTGAAATATTTTTCATCAAGGTAAAAGTGTTTTTTTATTAAAATTCAGAAATATGATTTGTATAGTTTTTTATAGCATTCGAACAACATGGTCCAATTCACTAATAGATTATTTATTAAGCAGAATTAGGGATTGGACTTTGAATACTATCATTCCTAAGTGGATCTCTGGACAGAGGTATGGGCCTGAACCCAGGCCCAAGACAATTCACATATTTTCGATTTAATCCTTAGTCCTTTTAACATTTTGCAATTATGCTTTGTACTTTTTTACATTTGACACTAGCACATTAAAAATTGAAATCTAAGTTTTTCCAAATGGCCATCAAATCTTCTAATATTTTTTTTTTGTGTAATACTTTTTTTCCATGTTTTCCTCACCACCATTATTACAACTGAACAGACAAATCAATTAATTACAAAAAAATAGCTAATATGTAATAATGCTTTAGGGCTCAACAAAAACCCTCTTCTCTCACTTTTTACATTTTAAGGAATTTTATATTTTGTATTAAAATATTGTTACAAAAGTTATTGTAATAAAAATTTTGAACAAAAATTGTTCTTATAATGAAGCTAAACCAATAGTGAATTCATAATATATAATAATATTAATAATAAACATTCATGAATCGACTTTTTTATAAATAAATTGTTGGGCTAAAAAATGAGAAGAAAAATTAAAAAAATAAACATACTAATTTTTTTTATCTTGTAAACATAATTTAACAAATACGAAAAATTGTATAATCATAATATATTTTATTATTAACATGTGAAATCAATAATAAGACACAAAGGGATTCAATACATGCGGAAAATTTTGGCAAGTGGTACCTCGTACACAAATTGAACTAATATATTTTGCATCTAATTTTTTTTCTCCTACAAATTCATACGGGGAAGCTAATTTAAGACCTTAAATAAGTATGATGATTTTTTTTTCGTAAACGTTTTAAGAAGAAAAAAACAAAAAATTATGCATAAGTTACGTGAAGGAACTCCCACAAATGACAAATTAATTTATGTATAAGTTAATTTTATTTTATTTTTGAATTGATTTGAATTTTTTGTTTGTTACGGGAAAGTTTATATATATATATATATAAAAAAAAAGTTAAACTAAAATTTGTTTATGTATTATGAGGTGTGAAATTGGAGAATAGAGATAAAAGAGGTGGAGATTGGAAAGACAAAGATCCCTACCTCAGTAGAAAGCGACAGACCACGGTCTCCAACTCAACTAAAATTGAGGGGCAAGAGCCCTAGCGTTCTCACTTGTCGGGAATTCATGTGCCTTCGCTTTTTAAAGAATATTTTCTTCTCATACTCACCTACTTCATCAACGCTTCAACCTTCTTAGCCTAAATTGCTTCACGACAAATCTTTCTCCCCCCTTCCCATATTTCTCTACTGTTTTTTACTTTCTACATCCCATCCCACTCTCCTCCCACACATTCACCTCTTTAAGGGATCTGTCCCTTCTTTTTTAACCCTATATTACCTTAATTAACGTACCTTCCATCGATGCAAATCATATACATATTCTATTAACACATGAATAGATATATAAAATTAAGAATTTTAAGAAATAATCATACCAATTACGAGTATTATTTGTTTATTTACTATTCAAAAATCAATTTTCTATATAATACAGTGAGTAACGATAATCTTATTATATATTAAAATAAAATATTTAAATTAATTACATAAAAATGTATATTATTTAATAAAATTATATGATTTACTTTTTTACTTTCTTTCCGATGGAATAATAAAATCAAACACCATATACATAATACATAAAATAATATTAACATCATTATACATTTTTTTTAATCAAAAGGATTTTTTTTAATTACTTAACTAGGACGATGTTTTTAATAGCTATAAGATGAGGTTTTGAACGAAGACGAAAACATATACTTTTGACAGTAATTTTTTGAGCATGAACAAGCTCATATCGATATCTTGTTGTTAAAAAATATAAATAAAATATTTATAAACTTTAAAATTAATTATTCAATTAAAAAATATATAACTAAGAAAACGAAGACAATGCATCGAAAGCGTGGTTTGCGCATGATGTTGAACGAGGAGTATGATTTATGAAGGAATTACAACGAAAAATTAATATATAAAAATTAATTATTATATATATATATATATATATTATTAAATTTAAACTTTTAAATTTAAATTAATTATTTTATTCACATTTAAATTCAAAATAAAATATCATAAAATATTAAAATAAAGAATTTATTTATAATAAATAAAAAATTATATCAATATTTTATATTTTTACATTACACTAAACATTTTAATTTGTTATAATAAAAGAAATTGTTTACTTGTTTTACTTTAATCAACAAAAAAATTGTGACGTATCTTCTTTATTTTTTAATTTTTTTTATTATGTCTTTTTGTAACAAAAAAAACGATTTTGATAGAAAAATTTGATAGGAGAAATGAAAAGAGGAGAGAAGTGAAAAGAAGAGAAAAAAGATAAAAATCTGAAAATATAATAAAAAAAAGAAAAATAATAAAAATAAAAATTGTATAAAAAATAAATATGGTATTTATTACAAATAAAATTAAGTGGAAAAAAAATACAAAATTTAAATTTTATTTATATTTATCAAATAACTTTAAATATATATATATATATATATATATATATATATATATATATATATATATATATATATATATATATATATATATATATATATATATATATATATAATCATTTGGAGTGGGTGCCCGTGGCTCTCTCCGCCTCTAATTACAATATATAAGGGATTCATGATGATGTTAGGGAAGAAAGATAAAAGGGGTTGGTGACATTTGTTGTAATGAATAAAGAGGGGAGGGGGAGGAAAGTAAGAGAAGTAACTTAAAGAGAACCAGAATAAGCCGTTGTATCATAAATGAGGAGGAAGGAGGAGGCTAAAACAACCCTCCACACAAGAGAAAAAAAATTTGTAACATATTTTAAAAAATATTACATCGATTATTTTTTTTAGACATTATACTATTGTCACCTATATCATTTTATATTATTTATTTTAAAACTAATGTAAAATTTCGTTATAAAAATTATGTTATGCAATAATTATGGAGATAGATAGATTTTGGTGTTGTTAAAAAAAATATGTATAATCGATAATTGGGTTTAGTTAAAACTATCGTTTCCTTTGCCATGTGTCATATTAAATTAGAAAAATAATATTTTAAATAATTAAAATTAAATATATGAGAGATTATATTATGTTAAATTATTTTAAAATAATATCATGTTAATTTTTAGACTAAATCAAATAAGATATTTACTATATATTTGGATAAAACAACTCTAATGACAAACGTGGAGATGCGTCAATAAGTTCGGACAAAAAATACCAATTTATTTATTTAAAATTTAACCTTTCTGTCAAAATAATTACAATTTACAACATGTTTACCAAAAACGTTTAAACTGTATGTAAAAAAATCATAAACAAAAACTTATCAAAGCATGTTTTCAATAGATCATATATTTTACGGAACATTATTCGGTTGCGAGATGAATTTCAACATAAACAAAATAGTAAATTAAACTAAATAGATTTCATAAATAAATAAAATAGATGCATTCATTGTACGTACCATTATATTATTATTATTAATACGTAATAAGTTGAATAAAAGTTATTTATGAACAATTCGAAATTAGATATTTGATTAGATTAGTGTGGCATGTAATTTGACGATGGGTGAGATTGGTTTCTGGAATCTAATCACTAGATCCGCATGTTATCTTCTTCTAACTTTTTGATGTAGCTTAATCGGAGCGTGTAAGCACTCTCTATGATCGAGGATGCGGAACTGAAGTGCCAGATAATAATTGGAGACAAGGTTAAGACATATAAATCCCGAGATCTTCTTGTTCGTGGGACATTTGGCATATAATCCGATATTATGGAACAATACTCTGTGGGGACCATCGAACTCCCATCATCATAAATAAATATGCACTATAATCTCTTATCTTATGAATTTCATTGCGCATTTAAATAACTGAAACAAGGTTGGTATCAAATCGGTGATGAAAAGTGAGTAGTGTTATTTTTAAGTGTTGAATTAAATATGAAGCTAACGTGGGGCTACATGGTGGATGGTGACTAGTGGCTACAATTTTCCAACTTCCCTCGATTTTAAACGGTGACGCTTTGAGTTTAGTCACCAAGAGATGAGAATCAAACAGAAGAGAAAAGATACCTAATATATACTCGTAATATATATGTTATTGCAAAAAGAATGACAAATTAACAAGTTGAGAGATCTAAAACATGTCACTTTGAAGCATGGGAATCATTACAAGCATGCACCAGTTGACGATGAGTTTGGTTTTGTTTATATTACAAGAGATATAGAGCTTGACATCATAAAAGCAAATCCAAACACTAGAATAGAAGAAGGTTAATTAGTGGGAATTCTGTTCCGGGTCACAAGAGTGGGTTGGGAATGGATTCTGTGATTTGATTTTTGCAGCGAAGGAAAAATATTCAATAGGTTTTGACATTACATTCATTTTTGGATCTCTCTGGTCTATGGAATGTGCACGGGTTGCATGCGTTGTGTCTCTTCAAGAAAGAAAGAGTGAATAAGCTTATGATGGGCATGCAATGGCATGGCACGCATGCATATGGATGATGTGATGATGGTAAGTCAGTGCGCATGCATGATAAGGTGGCTGCAGTGCAGGTTTGGGAATTTGTTTCTTCGTTCGTTCGTTCGTTCGTTCGTTCTTATCCTAGACAAAGCACTCCCATACCAAGGACAGACCTTAACAGGGGCATCATGGTAATTTTACATGGAAAAGTTGACTCCACCCAATGGTCTACACAACAACACAGCAACCACTGCCACCAAATCCATCAAAATCTTTATATTTCAGAGGCACTTTTGCGGTGGCAAGAGGCGAAAGTAAAAAATGCAAACACCCATGGCAAAGTTGTCCATTGTTGTCGGTGATTTCCCATTCTTCTTACCATGCTGGATAACAAATCCTTCAGGGAAACCAATTATAGAACATAACTAAACTTAAATTTACCTTAAAATTAATTATTATCCCATAGTTTGCTTTTACAATGTTAACCAGACTATTGGCTTAATTACGAATAAATTGTAGTATGCTAACTAATAAATTATCTACCAAAAATATTCACTAATTAATAAATTATGAACATAATTGGAAATGTTTTAATAAAACTAAAGATGGAATAATTTGCACTTCCAAGAACAAAAGCACATAATATATAAAGAAAAGGACTTAACATGCATCCACTTTCTCTTCCATCTTACTTTTGTTTTTGTTTTATTATCTCTTCATTTCTCATCACATAATGTACGATCACATCTATGTTCTTTTTCTCTTCCATTCTTTCATCTCTCTTATTTCTATCCATACATTTTAAAAATGGTGTCATAATAATAAATAAATGATATTACATTACTGAAAACAAATTAATGTTTAGAATGTGTCATTCATGGAGTTCAAAAACTAATTTCTAAGAAGTTTGATTATGATTAAAACATAGCGCTTGTAGCTATTTGGCTTTTGAACTTATTTCTACCTTGCTATGATTGTTCTTTTGCTTAGTTTCTTTTAAAAACATCTCGTGGTTGAAATTTAAAGAGACTACAAAAATATGTACGGAGGGATATGCATACATTTAGAATACACGAATGGAGAATGTGTTCGTGGTGTAAATAAAGTATTTTCAACGAAAAAAAAAAGTGAGCAATTAAGGATCGGGTATATCTTTAATTATATTAAGGACCGGATATAATATCAAATTATTGTGAGGTAAATTAATAAAAAACTTCTAATATGATTTTCATTTTTTCTAACAAAAAAAAAAGGTTCTTTGCATCGTTGGATGTGTTGATGACACATCGTCTCAGTTTTTAGTCTTGTGAGTTTCGGAAGCATTCAAGGTGTTTATTTTAAAAAAAATGTAGAATACTTTTTTTTCTTGTGTTTTTGGTGTTTGTACTTCATTTTACTAGTTTACTACATGACTTTATGAAAGCAGTAATATATTATGACTATATAACTTGTGATGTGATGAAGCTAACAGGAAATGTCATTTCAAGTAAAATAGAGGAGAGTGTGTGAGTTGAGATGAGATAGTGGGAGATAAGAAAAGAGAGGAATGGGTGATGGGATAAAAATGGGAAATTAAAGGGAGGAGAGAAGAGGGTGCACAAATTTCTTGGGCAACCGTCCGAGCCAGGTCCGCACCCTAGTGTCGGACTCTTAGCATACAATCTGCTAAGAAACACATAAAATAACAAGTTCAGAGAAATGACAGCTCCTCCTCCTCAACCCTCTTCTCTTTCTTCTCACTCACTCACTCATCACTGCATGCTTAGTCTCACTCACCTTACACACACACAAACAAACACATGCATGCATGCATCATCAATTGATAACTCCTTCGCCATCAAATTGATCCCATCTCTGCCTTTGTCTCCTTCCTCTGCCAAGCACCCCCCCAACATGCAAAGCTGTACACCACCTAAGGTACCCTAATTTGGGTTTTTCCAACATTATTTTTTACCTGCATGTGTGGTCACAATTTCATCAATTCCATTAATTTTGCATTTGTGGATGCATAGCTAGCTACCCAAACATAGAGCATCCTATTTGACTGGGACACTGCAAATTTTGCTTCTACATGCAACGCAATATGTATTCGTTATTTTATGTTTTTGTTTATGGCTTGCCCTCCAACGTTGTATACTGTAAAAAGGTCAAGGTGTAGCTATCTTGTGTCGCCAACCCGGAGAACATGTAGGCTTTGCTGGATTATAATATCATACTTTTCTTACCGTTTAATCTGTCTTTCTGTTTGAGTTCTCCAATAATCAGGACAAAGAAACGTAGCCAGGGTGCCCCATGTCATGCCCAACTATGCTTTCTCATTATACTAATAATAAATTACGAAATTAAGTTAAGTAATCAAGAACATATATAAACATATATTACAAACAAATGGAGAAGAATACGTATACATTACATAGAAGAAGCGGCAGCTAATTCAGTAATCGATATCTCAATTCCCATAAGCATTCCTCGAGCCACGCCATCAACAAGCTTTTTTTTTTTTTTTTCTAATCATGCTGCATGGTCATTTACCTAGTTTAATTCTCTAAACCCAGTTTTCTGTCTGTTAATTTTTAATCACGACTTAACTACTGTCCTACTTGTTCGTTCCCACACTGGGCCAGACAATGTACAAGATTATGGTGAATATGCTGCCTAATTGTTGCCATTTGTTTAACCCTAACCCCCTTTCATGCTTCACTGTCGATCGCCATAGTGGGTGAGGGTACTAATATTTATATTTAGCAAAAGTTTAAGAAATTAATATAATCAGAACCCACATAGCTAACGTGGTTCCTCCAACCCTAATTTCTCCATGTGGTAGCCACACAAGAAGAGACATGGCCTAACAACAGGGCCTATTGTTTGGAATCGACCCTACAATATTGGTTGTGCTTCGCGACCTAGTGATTAGTATATAAATGGAAATTAAGGTAAGAGGGCATGTACGAAAACCAAACCCGTATTTATAATAATAAAGAAAAAAAGGGGGGAACCAGATCTCTACCTTTGATAATTTCCTAGGAGATTTTCCCCTAACTGTTTTCTTTGTCTGATTATTTCAGCATCCGGATGAAGCACATAAACATGATATGTGTCCAGGACCTACGTTCTTGTTCCTGATTGGGACCATAAAAACCTTCCAAAATCTAAATATATACACATGTTTGAGTTCAATATTTGATCTAAGATTTTTTGTTGAACCGTGTTGTGTGGTCCTGCCTTTCTCTTTTTCTTTCTAGAGTCGTACCTTCTTTAATCTCCACTATATTTCCTTATTAAAATGTTTCAAAGATTGTGAATAATGGCCACACTAAAAAGAAAGGAGTGGAAATAACAACTGGACAAACGCCAAACGAGGTAAACAGTGACAACTTGATCATCTACATTGACCTAATATTTATCGTTCCTAAGACTATTCAATCAAACATATCAGAATGGAATATGAAAATGGGTTAATGCCAAAAGTTTCGCAGGAATAAATCATGGTTTCGTAGTGAATTTTTTCTGTGAACATGTTCCACTTGTTTATTAGCATGATTTTATATATCCCGGTTAGAGATCCCACATTATATAAAATATGATTACAATAAAATATATAAATATAAAAAAAACTTATATTATAAGCTGTTTCTTAAATTTAGGTGTGATTTAAAGTTTATTTTTTTAAATTGTATCAAAATATATTATAATAAGATTTGTTGGAGTAATCGTTGTATCTTTCTAATACCACAATTGAGATGTATAATTAATTGTAAGAAAAGATGTGTTAGATATCACAAATAATTTAAGAAAAAAAAAAATATATATATATATATATATATATATATATATATATAAATGTGTGTATATCTCTTTTTACAAATAAAGTTTTAAAATTAATTTATAAAAAAAGATAAAAGTATATTAGAAATCGACTTTAATTTAAAAAAGAGGTTAGCATATATATATATATATATATATATATATATATATATATATATATATATAAATGTGTGTATATCTCTTTTTACAAATAAAGTTTTAAAATTAATTTATAAAAAAAAGATAAAAGTATATTAGAAATCGACTTTAATTTAAAAAAGAGGTTAATATATATATATATATATATATATACCATTGTAATTGCGAAGCTGAGGAGTATTTTGATTGCTTTAACTTCATTCCAGATCTAATAGAATAATCTAGCTTCAAAAAGTTTTAGACACAGAATAATTATCTGGTTCAAAAAAATGGTTGTGGACTCTTGGGATCTCACTTTGATTTGAATGTGGTTAGTCTTAAATTAATTAACAATGAGCAAGAATCTCATCATGTCGTTTTAAATTTATACACTTTATTCTACTCCCGAGTATGCATTGAGAGGGCACGAGCTTGTAATATGGCATATGCCTCTCTGTTCACCACCAATTATTGAAATTTGGAAACGACAGTTGAATCTTGGAAACCTCAATAATCTTCCAATTCTGGTTGGGATTGAAATTTTTAACTTTGATTTAAAAACTAATCTTACTTCTAAGCCTATGTCTTTGTTTCAGTATCTAATTATTATTAAAAAATGAACTAAAAGAATTTAGGTCCGAAAACAAGTAGATGGTTTCTTACTGTCGCTGAGAGCTGTTGTTTTGTCTGGCGTAACTGCAGCAGTTAAATACTATTTAATTTGATTTCCAGCACATAGAGTCTCCCCCGACACACCAGCAAGCTTGAGAATGATGAAGTTACACTACTACTACCACCTTACAATTTTGACATATATTAACTATTACATTGCATGGAAATTTTGTCATCTAAATTTACTGGTCTTACTTCTTCAATTAGTTTATGATAATTTTCTTCTGACATATGATAATAATCTTATACCCCACTCTCTTGTAGTTAGTTGTTTGATGCACCATACTTCTGAATTCACTTTTTCTTCCATTTTATCAACTTTAATACACAAAGTTATGCACTGTATATCATGCATTCAAACTTGGTGATGTGCTAAATTCTGTGGTCAATTCTAAAACTTTCACAACCAATTAGGTTAAACTATCAAAAGTGGATATTCTTTAAACTTGACTAACGACCAAATATAACTGAACAACACAGAAAGAAATTCCCCGACCCTGGTCTGATACTCCGAACATGACAATGAAGCAATTGGACTATGAAGCAATTGGACTGCACTGCATCATAATACAAACTAAAGCAAAAGTGTTTGAAGCACCTGAGAAGAACTGAAACCCTAGAGCTGGACGATAAGAACATGTCATTACCTAAAAAGGGTAAAATGGTGTCAATGTGAAAGAAATAATTGCATGCGTCTTGAGCAAACACAATTGACATGAACAACCCATAAAAAGGAAAATCTCATTAGCTCTGCACAACCAAGTGAGTCACAGGTGGCAAAAGAATTCTGTTAAATGTGAAAGAAATCCGTTGGATATGTGTGTCTTGTTCAAATATCTCCATAGACTGAATCCCAGATGTCAAAATAATTTTGTTAAATGATAAAGTGAGGGATATGCAACCTTCAAGATATTTAAGTTTTGTTATTTTAATATTTAATTTTATAATGATATAATTAATTAACAATTTTCGTACCTAGCATATTATTTAACTTTTCTCTTTGTTTATTTAATATAAATTTATTGTTTTATCTTTTATAACATTGATTTCAATAATTTATATATGTATGCAATACGACTAATTCAAAGTACTACTTTTAAAATTAATTTCTTCAGATTATATAAAAATATTATTTATGTTATTTTAAGGCATTTTAAATTAATATCTTTAATCAAATTTTCGTTTTCAGCTTCTTTCAAATTATTAAATTTAATATCAGTATGTGACTTTATTATATTCTGAAATACTTGTAATCATAAAAATATTTGCATAACAATTATATTTATTATATTAAATATCGTATCGTATGTTCCAACATTTTTAATAAAAATTATTTTAAAGTAATTACAAAATAATTTAATTTCATCATGTATTAAAATAAACCTTTTAGAGTTATTTTCTTCAAAGTTTTTTATGTGTTTTTTTTAAATATAAAAACGTAATAAGTTATGGCATATAATTACAGGGATGATAAGTATGATTGGAATTTTTTAATGATTAGTTTCCATACCAATCTTTACTAAAATTCCAATAAAGATTTAAATAAAAATGAAGAGTGGGTTTTTTTCTTAGAGTATCACATCTTCATAATTTAAAGAAAATTAAACTTTACAAATATATAAATATAAAATTAAATTTTGATGATAAAATATTTTCGATAACAACTTAAATTTTTATCATAATGTAATAAATTCAATTATTTATTAACTTTGATTTTTTATTTTATTTAAATGTAATTATATAAAACTCTTTTCTAATATTATTTTATGTTAGTATAAACTTGTTCAAATTAAATTGAATTATTATAAAATCTTTTTAATATATTTAAAATTTTTATATGTTTATAACTCAAATCAATAACAATATTTAATTTGGAATAATTGTCTTGTTAAGACTATACAGTGAGCACGGTGGAGGTTTATGGTCCGTGAAAACTACTCCAGCGAAGAGACTCAGCGGACAGTGTCGTTTGTGCTAATAAGACGAATGTGAAACGACAACAGAGACACAATGGGAGGGTAAAATTGTACTTTAATAGGTGAGACATCCATTTCTTATGTTTTCTTCAAAATTCAGTTAACAATATTGTCTTTTTAGGGTCCACATGTGTTTTCTGATTTTCCAAAACTAAGAAAGATAGTGCTTTTTTTATAATTTATTTTAAAAAAATTAACAATAAAATAATTATTCATTAGATTTTATTTGTTTTTTATTGAATTAAATTAATTTTAAACGAAATCTTAAAATTCATTATAATATATTAATAAAAAATAATGATTATATTTTTAATTATAGTTTATATTAACCTCAATTTTATCAGAAACTTATTTTATAGTTTAAATTCATTCAATTAATACTTATTTTGTAAAAAAATACTCTAAATAAGTATGTACAATTTATACTAAGAATATTTTTACAATATTATATTATTATTTATTTACATAATAGAACGTCACAAATATTCATAGCAACAAGTATATGGTAAGAAACATTAATTATGTGAAAAGTAATAAAAAAACAATAGTTAGTGTACAGGTTAAGTAAAAATTTGTTCCAATATTATTATATTATACTTTAAAAATTAAATTATATTACTTTAATAAAAGAATCAAATTCATCTTTTATCAATTTTTTCTTTTATTTTGACCAAACAGACGAAGTGGTGATGTATACTTTTTGTCATGTATAAATTTTAATTTATATAATACATCCAACAAAATTGGTTTGTTTTAAACTTTAAATAAAATAATTTTAAGTATGAAGATTATAAGAATTAAAGAGTGATTTAAGTTATTTTTAATAACAATTTTATATTTAAAAATGAATTTTAAATTTAAAAGTTAATAAAAATATATAATTTTTATTTTTTTTCGTTATTATTTTTATGATAAATTATCATTATTAAAAATAAAACATTTTAGTGTTATTTTGATTGTTCTAACATTATTTATAGTTATTGTCAATATCATTAGTTATTATCAATGCAATATTAAATATTAGAGAATATTTTATATATATATAAATAAGTGGCAGAGACTAGTTGATATGACCCCTATACATGATATATGTATTATATATTTTCAATTCTTGTTGGATGAATATTCTCCACTGTGCAAGTAGAAAGTTATGTATTATCAGTTTATCAGCTTTATTATATGAATTGATGATAATTTTCTGCATTTGTTTTACTTCAATCCGTCCCCTACACGGTGTGGAAGAAAAGGTTGGACTTGGGAATCAAGTAATTTTAACTTAATAGAAACGCTTTCAAATAATCACAAACCACAATAAGACAATCTGTCAAATGTGCGAGAAATAATGAAGTTTTGCTCAACCTTTTTCCAGACAAAGATAGCATAATATATTCAACAATCTTAAATGACAGAGTAAACAATTATTTATTTATTTATTTTTGTAATTTAAAAATAATTACAAATATATATGAAAAAAAATAATAAGTTGTGATAGAGTCATAATTATTTTTAAAACAGGGTAACAGTTCAAGTTGGATAGCTTTTTTTCATTGGACATAAGCATTGTTTGAGTATTTATATATATATATATATATATATATATATATATATATATATATATATATATATATATATAACTCATTTTTATTTTATTTAAAAAATAAAATATAAAAAAATAGGTGCATGAGTGTGCTTCCAAATAATACATGTTATATATTTGTGATTTATTTTTTCAATCAAAGCTGTCATATTATATTATTATTTTTTAATAAAATAACTTTTAATTAAATAATATATATATATATATATATATATCATATTATTTTTATTATCAATATTTTCATAAATAATAGTAATAATTTTTTAAAAATGTTTTTTTATTATAAGAAACAGTGTAGTAAGAATGTTCATGGAATATGTGTTACTGTCATTCTTACTCCTTAAGTTAAAATTAATCAAATGCTTTCTAAGAAAACCTAATAAAATAATAAAAGGGTGACATATGTAACTCATACAATAAAATAATAAAATATGCATGTGTTTATATTAAATTGTAAATCTTATCATTTTCAAAAGCATTATAACCTCTTTCTTATTGAATAAGGTAAACAACAATACAAATATTATATGATAAAAATATTAATAATTAAATTTGTCATTACTTATATTATAATTATTAACAAAAATATGTTTTAGTAAGATATTATTACATTAGTAAAGTCACACAATTAAACAATTATCTTATATTTCTTATAAAAAAATAAAAAATAATATTTTTTGATAAATAAGTATAAAAGTTAAGTTATTTAATTCAAAATAAATAAAAAAATAAATTATTTAATTTATTTATAATAATATTATTAATTTAATTATAATTTTATAAATTAAAATAATTCAAAATATACAAATTGGATAATTAGTTATAAGAATCACATAACTAATTATAACAAATAAAACAATTTAAAAAAATACATAATATAATTCATTATCTACATAACATAACATAAGATGAAATATACGTAACTTTTTTACATATTTATAAAGAAAATTGTTTTATCTCATATATCTTTATTCACATAATACCTGCACCTAACTAGCATCTTCTCCTATTTTTATTTTTATTTTTTTCAAATGAGTATTTATTTTTCTCCCACATTTTTGGGTACTTTTCAAATGAAGTGTAACAATTTTTTAAATAAATTATACTTTTAAGAATTGTTGTATCTTCAATTTAAAGTAAATTAATACTGTGAACAATAATTTAGTAAAAAATTATAAACATAAGTTAACCTGGTTTTAAAATATTTTTCAACAACTTGTTGAAAGAAAAATTAAGAACACTAATCAAGTTTAATATTTACATAAATATTTTATATTAATAATATATAAACTATTTTTTATTATAATATCACTATTACAAAAGCAAATTAGGTTAAAAAAAAGAAAAGAAAAAGAAAGTGACCCCTTTAATTTCTTATCCACTTGCATTGTGGAAGTTACCTATACCCTAGTATGAAAGTTTATTATTGGAGAATGATTGAGTAATAATTATTAATTTAAACCCAAAATTTTAGTAACGTAGGAACTTCCTTAAATGACTAATCATCATGAAAATTGTTTTATGACAAAATAAACTCTTTGGTTGCTCTGCCATTAAAATGCCAAATTAGTATATTAAACAACACTATACATTGCAGATAAGCCAATGGGTGACTCAGGTTATTTGCCTCATAACCCTCTATTTGACTTATTTTCATTTACCCTTAAAATAATGATAGTTCTTAAGTTTATATTTTTTTAATGTGATTGTTATTTTTATCTTTTAATGGATTGTTAATTATTTTTTTATGAATTAATCTTCTTGTATAAAAAAAATATTATTTATTGAAAAAGACAATTTTTTTATTAAAATAATTTCAAAATATATATAATAATTACAAATGTATATAACAAATTCTTATAAACTAAAATATAAAAATATAAATACTTTTAAATTGTAAAGACAATAATTGAATTTATAACTTGACTTATTTATTTTTTCATGACAATAATAATAATAATATAATTTAAAAATATTAAATACACTAGATTAAAATTTGAAAACAGTTCACTAAAAAAATATAAAAGATTGAATTAATTTTTGCATGATATTTCATAATAACAAAAATAATGATATTTTAAAATAGTAGTATAAAAATAATAACAAGTAAAATTGTAACGGAAATAAAAAAGAAGCCTAGAATGAAGCGTCAATCAAAATCAATAGGAGTAGCGAAAATTCTGGCTCATAAGCTTTAATCAGAGGTATGATAAAAGTACACAAAATCTTTGGCTGCTCGTGAACAAAGTAACCCTAGCAGTCAATTAGAATCAGAAGATAATGATGTGAACGGTGACGATCGTCGTGCTCAGTATATCAATGCTACCATCCGCAGCTAAAGAGAAAATCGCTTTTGCAGTTTAATAGTCACTACTGGACTGCAATTTTATACCATCAATATCTGGTAGAAAAAAACAAACAAAACATTGGTATCATCGCTCACATTCATTGCATGCAAACAGTTCAAAACATTCTACACTGGTATGCACTATGAAGAATAAATACTTTTAAAATTATGTAATTTAATTAATTTATGTTTAAAATACATTGATCTTACTATTTTAACAATTATTGTTAAATAAATTTTCTTATTCAAATAAATAAAATTAATTCTCTCTTCCATCAAAGACTGCATTTTGGACCGAGGCAAGAGAGGAAGAGACTATGTAGTAGTGTTAAAGGTAATGATTACAAATGGGGTCATGATGGCAACGCGACCTTCCGCATTAAATAAATGATTATAAATTCAATTAAGAGGAACATCACCACAATACTGCGCAGTCATAGCAGCCCCTTCCCCTGCCTCTGGCAATCATATTATTCGTTTGTTTTCGCATTATTATCACTGGTGCCACTAATAAATAAGAAAGATAAAAAATCAAAAATTCAAACCAGAAGAAAAATGGTATAATAGAATAAAAAACTGAGGGAAGGGAGGAGAATAGATAAAGTCGTATTCATAATTATTTAAAAGTTATATTATATATATAATATAATTTGAAGTGAGAACAAAAGAAGAGGTAGATTCTGGAGAGAGAAATTAAAATATAGTCTTGTATTAAAAATTAAAAATAAAAAACTAACAAAGAAGAGCTCAAAAGTTCAGTATTTAAAGTCCACAAGGAGTTGTACCTGCTGGAAGAATAATAGAAGCAGAAATATCTAAATAAACAGCTTCCTTCTATTTTTCTTTTATTTTCTTTATATATTGACTTTCCAAATTCATACTATGCCTCTACAAATCATTCACACTCAGACTCAGCCTGGGTTCTCAAATTTCGAAGCTTGGTAGTTTAGGTTTATTGCTTATAACACAGTGCACATTAACCAGTCTTGAAAAAGCTGCTATTCCTTACTCTCAGACTTCTCTTCTGCTCCACTTCCCATCTATAAAACTCCACCCCTCCCTCACCCTCACAGTGATTCTCCGCACTTTCTTTGCTATCTATCTTTTTCTCCACCACAACCATACCTGTGTCCTCCAAATGGGTGAAGAGCTAACACCTACTTTGGTTGTGAGAGACTTCGACCCTAATAGAGACAGAGAAAGAGTAGAAGCTGTTGAAAGGATATGTGAGGTTGGACCCAGTGACAAGCTTTCTCTCTTCACCGACATGCTGGGTGACCCAATCTGCAGGGTTCGCAATTCGCCTGCTTTTCTAATGCTGGTACAAATTAAATAATCATCCTTGAGTTTATGTATTTACAGGCGATTATATGTCTGTCTGCTGTATACTTTTCTCACCAACTCAATCAGAGATAATGAAGCAACCAGAAAGTTACAGTAACATAATAATAAGACCATATTATATTATATAATTATTTCTCGTGTGGATCAACAGGTGGCTGAGATTGGCGAGGAGATAGTAGGAATGATAAGAGGATGCATAAAAACAGTGACATGCGGGAAAAGAGTATCCAGGAAAGGGAAACAAGACGACAGTAATGCCAAACACGTTCCAGTGTACACTAGAGTAGCGTACATATTAGGCCTTCGCGTTTCACCCAATCAACGGTAAGAATAAATTAGGTGAATGGTTATGTTAACTAAAGATAGGGAAATGTTGATCAAGTGTTGATTAATTATGTGGTTGTGTTGCGATGATGCAGGAGAATGGGAATAGGGTTGAAACTGGTGCATAGAATGGAGGCGTGGTTCAGGGATAACGGCGGGGAGTACTCCTACATGGCAACGGAAAACGACAATTTAGCTTCCGTTAAACTCTTCACCGACAAATGCGGGTATTCAAAGTTCCGTACCCCGTCCATCCTTGTCAACCCCGTTTTCGCCCACAGAGCCAGGGTGTCCCCAAAAGTCACAATCATAAGTCTTTCCCCTTCCGACGCGGAGGTTCTTTACCGTCGTCGGTTCGCCACGACGGAGTTCTTCCCGCGCGACATTGACTCCGTTCTGAAGAACAAGCTGAGTCTGGGGACTTTCCTGGCGGTCCCGCGAGGGTCATACAGGGCCGAGACATGGCCCGGGCCAGATCTTTTCCTGTCGGACCCACCAAAGTCCTGGGCCTTGGTGAGCGTGTGGAACTCCAAGGAGGTGTTCACGCTCGAGGTGCGGGGCGCGTCGTGCGTGAAGCGCACGCTCGCGAAGACGACGAGGGTGGTGGACCGGGCCCTGCCGTGGCTGAGGATACCCTCTATCCCGGACTTGTTTAGGCCGTTCGGGTTTCACTTCATGTACGGGCTTGGAGGGGAAGGCCCAGAGGCTGTGAAGATGGTGAAGGCCCTGTGTGGGTTCGCGCACAACCTCGCGATGGAAAAAGGGTGCAGGGTGGTGGCCACAGAAGTGTCACCAAACGAGCCCTTAAGGTTCGGGATACCCCACTGGAAGATGCTGTCGTGTGACGAAGATTTATGGTGTATGAAGCGGTTGGGTGAGGATTACAGTGACGGTTCCGTTGGTGACTGGACCAAATCTCAACCCGGCATGTCCATTTTTGTTGACCCGAGAGAGGTCTAACGAGTCAACGTCCACCTCCACTTTTTGTTCTCTTGTCTTTTTCTTTCTTTTTCTGTTTTTCGTATTTCCCTCTCTCTCTCTCTCTCTTATGTGTATACTTCCTCAAAATATATTATCTAGTTAGGGTAACGACTTGGAGGTGGGAATGCAGAGAATGAGGTATATGTGAATTTATTTTTGTTTTGCTTAGTTGAGGGAATATCCTTATACCCATATCCCCTTCACCTTTTTGTTGTTACGAATTAGCTTTTTGGTAAATGGAAGTGGCTTTTTAGATCCGTCACCACCCAAACGCAACCTTCGTTTCTGGTCTCTTATTTAGTTATAATATTTCGGAATTTGAACTTGGCCTTCTTATATATATATATATATACGATAATATTGTTATTTTACTAAATATAAGTATCGGAATCTATGACTATGCTACGCTTTTATAACAATAATAGGATATGGCTTTTGGGGGAAGGGGGATATGAACTCGTGGGTAATCCCAATATACTTTTGTGTTTGGGCTATGTCATGTTGCTAATCTTTTCTTAAAGAACCTTTTTTGACACCAATGTCTTCTGTCCTTCGATAATATGCCCGCAGCTCAGGATCTTATCTTTGCCTAACTTTATTTGATTATTGAGTTTTTGGCATATTTCTGAGATAAATTGTATTTGTAGGATACATTTGCATAATTTTATTATGCAGAGAGATTTGAAGAGAACAAACAATGTGAGATAAGATTATAAGCGTGTGATATGATAAAATATTGTCTGTCATAAAGAATATAGATTTATTTTTTAATGGTGTAGCATGATTCAAATGGCCCCAATTGAGCTTAAATAAATCCTAGTGTAACTATCGCTTGTAAATACGCTTCTCTGCTTTCCTTTGCTAAAATTTTGGGTTCTTATTTACTCGTTGCAAAGGTTTTCTGTTGAAATCCAGATTGAATAATATTTTTTCCTTATCAGTTTTTATTTTCAACGTCATAAAGACAATTGAATATAAAAGGTACTAGTCATAGCTTTAGATATTTAAATAATAAAAGTGTATTTTTATGTTGGTAATTTTTTTAATCTATAATAATACTGCTTCCATTGTTAATTTTAAGGTATTTGGACAAGATCACAATTTTTTTTAAATTTAATTTTTATTAATTATTATCATATTATTCAATAGCAATACATTTCGTTTTGTCTTTAATAGAAAATATATAAAAAATAGATTTATTGGAATTATAAAATCTTATAATAAAAATCAATTTTTCTTTTAGAAAATTGTACTTTGTGACAAATATATAAAAGAGGACCTAAGCATGATAAAAAAAAATGTTGCCTTTCATTTTCATTAGGTATTTTCATTTCTCGTGATTATGACTTTTATTGTCCTCTTCAAATCTTATTTCTAAACTATATTTTTCATTTTTTTTATTTAACTTCCTTTCTCCCTAATGATTTTTTTTTCATCGCAAATGAGGAATATAGATCTTGTAGCACAGACATCATATTTAAAATGGATTTAAAAAATGAGAAAATATCAAGAGGAAATATAGATGGGACAGACATTTAAGAACATAAAAAAAAACTTAATTTTGTTTGGTTTCCTTTCTATTAATAATAATAATAATAATATTATTATTATTAATTATTAGTAATTGTTTGTGTGGGGGATGAAGAAAGTGTAACGCATGAAAGTAATGGTGAGAGGGTGAGTTAGTGATTGATTGATAACCACGTGGCGAATGTAAAGACAAGAAAGAGTGTGTGTGTGTGGCCTTGGATTGCACTAAACTGGAGATTACTAACTCGACTGGTTGCATTGCAAGTTCCATGACTTAGGAGTGTGAGTGGGTTAGTAGGAGGTACAATTATAAATGTGAACGCCAAGTGGCATTATCTTTTTTTACTCATTCATTTTCCTTCTAATCATAGACCCCTTTTGGGGCATGCCATTCATTTTGTTAAGACATGACTACTATTTGGCAAGAGATGATTATAAAAATGTACATGTGTTTTAGGAAAGGATAACTTAGTCATTTTGCACGTCATAGGTACTAGATAAAAAAGGTACTTGGAGTTGACCACATACCTAAATGCTTGAAAAGTAGTATAATGCTAAAGCTTTATCCCAAATGAATTGCTCTTATCCTTCACTCACACTTTGTCGTGTACAAATATCAGCCACCAACAAGGAAATTTCATGGATGAGATTTCTGAAATTAACATTTAAGTTACATGTATATTAGTTTTTTTATTTTTTAATTTAAATGTGACTTTTACATCCTATATTTTAAGAATCGGATATATTTTAGTCTCTCATTTATTTTATTATGATCAATTAAAACATGTTAAATAGAACTTTAAAATAGTTGTTTTAAAAATATTAAACTTATTTATTTTGATATTTTTTTTATTAATCATTTGACGACCTTATATTAAATATTTGTGACCAACAAATTAATATTCATCATTAGTCTTATTATTATACATGGTTTAATATATTTTTAGATTATATATTAACAAAATTTAACACATATTTTATAAGTGTAATATACATGAATGTATATTAATATACCCTTAGATTGAATATTTTAGTTTTCTACTAAGAAAATCTAAATGTACCAGATGCTCGAAAATTAATTATAATATATATAGAAAAGAAAATATTTCATTACTATTTTTTCTTTTTACTTTGTGAGCTTTATATATATGCATTCATCCCATATTATCTATGCAAATTTATATAAAATAATGGGAATATGGCTGGTAAAGTTAGATAATTCGAATGGGTAATTCTATAAGTTTTTATTTGTACTTCTGACATTTCGATTATTTTTAAATCGACTGAAAAATTAATGTAAACAAAATGTGATTGATTTAAAAAATTATATCTGAAGGATAATATTAATACATGTAGAAGATAACATTATTAGGGTATGCAATCTTTGCCCTCAAATTGGGTTTATGATTACAGTCATGCGTGATATTAAGGAATTATTTACATGATTAACTTCATGTTTTTCAAACATAATAATCACACCTGTGCATCTGCAAAGAGCCTCTCAAAATAGGGGCTCGAGAGAAATCCGTAGAAATCTAAGAGATACCTTCGTAGCACGCGGAAACACCCTAGAAGCTAGGGGCAAGAATCTTAATGTGGATGTTCACAAGAGTAAAATATTCACTAACAATAATAAAAAAAAAAAAAAATACAGAGAAGAAGAAAAATCATAAAACTCAACTGAAATTATTTACATAATTGAGAAGTTACTTGTGTTCATGTGGCTTTGATTATTTAATAACTCAAAATAAACAGTATTATATAGAGTTTACATAACTTTCACACCTCATATTTTTCTTTTAAATATTACATTTACTCCTACTTCTGAACCTACACCAAATAAGTGTCCACAGTTAATCTCTAATATAGGGTTGAATAATTAGGTCAATAAAAGGACCTTAAGTTTGATTAGTTATATTCTGTAATCAAACTACGTAAACTATTATTGGTATTAGTCAATTGTGTGAATGGAAGGAAAGGTTGGAGCGCGCTAAGTCTTGCCTAATTATCACTAATTAAACATAATTTAGGTGTAAAAGCTCATACCTCGAGTCATATTTTTGTATTTTAAGTTTCATAAGAAGACCATACATACTTCTATGGACCAGATCAGAGACAGAAGGAGACATGAATGAAAGTCACTGCCAGATTGTCATGAAAAGAGAGAGACGTAGAAGATTGAAACGTTTTTCATTTCTACCAAACAATTTTATAAAGGTCGATTATTCGTGCCTATTTCTCATTTTCTTTTCCACCTTGACTTAGTTTAATCCACTAATTAACTGGTTTCGATTTTAGGACAAAATCATAAGACTAAATGACAAACGATTAGTTATAAAGTTGAAGTCAATATTGGACGGCATTATTTATGTTTGCATAGCCTCAACACGTAACATTTCTCATTTTCTGCCTTCAATTTAAAATACACCATTCACATTACTACAAGATATATATGTTAACTTCTTAATTTCATACAAAACACAATAACATATTATATTCATATTTTCTCATTTTATTTGAAAGAAATACCAACAGCAAAATACAAGCATAAATTTTTCTAAAATAATTATATGGTAAAATAAATTCTTTCACCAAATGATAAATGTTTGGAACGAGATATATTAATTAGTTTTTATGTGCAGTGCGGTCAACTTAATATATCAACTTCTGGGTCTGATTATACAAAACATGAATGAACGTTCATACAAAGGTAATATTAATTACGTAGTTAACTTTGTCTTGATTCGTAAGCTATTTTCAAGTCATGGGAAAACGTGAATTTTGTTTATCTGTTAATTAGCATTATCTCTGCATCTATTTTTATTTTTCTGTCTAAATTAAGGTTGGATTAGACATAGGTGGCCACTGCTGTCGGGAAGATAATGTCACAATTACGTCCTAATTATATATTTTGTTTTAGAAGGGCCCTTGTCTTGAATGAGATTACCTCAAATTTAATTTGTTTTGTTTGACATCAAGAAATAGAAGGAGAAGAAAGAGGGGAAAACCTTATTTAATTTGATTAATAACTGGAATATTCCTATTATAGTAACTGAAAAATGCTATCCATATGCTGCTAAACTCATTATTATCTGGTTCCTTTCTTTCCTTTATCTGATTGGGAGTGCAACAAATACTAGATTAGGATCTAAGAGAATTATTAATAATAAAACAGTTTACTTTAGTAGAAAGTCCTAAGGTGTGTATAAATGGATAAATAATGAATCAAGAATTTGTAAGAGATTATTATATTGATGTTTGGTTGGGAGGGTGGAAAGTGGAATTAAACAAAAAAAAAAAAACACGTTAAACTAAATAAAAAAATAGATTATTTGATATAGATGAAAAGTTGTGGAAATAAGTGAAAAATATAATAGAATAATTTTAATAATAATTACTATTACTATTTAATATTATTTTTAATTTTTTTATTATTATAATAAAATATT